GGGTGAAAAGGGGCTGTCTGGGCATGCCTAATTCCTTGGTTAGCCAGGAATACCCCAAATTCATTGGACGTGAATTGAGGCCCATTGTCTGACACTATGGTGTCAGGAAGACCATGAGTAGCAAAGTTTTGTAGCAGGGCTTTAGCTACTGCTTCAGAAGTTGTGGTTGGGATTAAGGCTAGCTCTACCCATTTTGAAAAGGAGTCAACCACCACTAAAAATGCTCCCCCATGGAAAGGGCCAGCCAAATTGATATGTAATCTGGACCATGGGGACCCTGAATCTTCCCTTCTCCTGGGAGTAGCTGTGGGTGGGGCTGGTCTGGTGCTCTGGCATGGCTGGCAAGTATTTACCCAGCTGGTGATCTGGGTGTCCATGCCAGGCCACAATACATAACTGCGAGCTAATGCTTTCATCCTGACGATCCCAGGATGACCCTCATGAAGTACCTTTAGGACTGGAATCTGTAACTGGGCAGGAATAACCACCCTGGTTCCCCATGGCAGGCAGCCTTGTAAGGAAGACAATTCTTGCTGATGGATTTTAAAAGGCAAGAATTGAGGTGAAAAAGGGGCTTTTGGCCACCCCCTTCCCATCCAGTCAAGGACTTGGGATATTACCTTGTCCTTGGCAGAGTGGGCAGAGATGTCAGAAGCAATGATATGTAGTTTGATGTCTTCAATCAGGAACACAGCATTGGTTGGTGCAGGATCCTTCACCAGATTAGGCAGGGGCCAACGACTGAGAGCATCTACATGGCTGAAGTGCTTGCTTGCTCGATGTGTCAGCGTCTAAGAATAAGCAGCCAGAAATAATGTCCACCTGGTCATTCTTGGAGACAAAATCTGAGGTGTTTGTCTGTTGCCAGATAGAAGACCCAAGAGGGGCTTATGGTCTATAATTAGCTTGAAATGGCGACCACAGAGAAATTCATGAAACTTTTTGACTGATGCTACTGCAGCTAAAGCCTCCTTGTCAATTTGACTATAGTTGTGTTCTGCTAGAGAGAACGTTCTGGAGAAAAAGGCAATTGGTGCCTCAGAACCATTGGGCAGTCTGTGACTTAATACGGCTCCTATGCCAAAAGGTGAAGTGTCTGAAATTAAGACTAAAGGAATTTTTTTGTTGAATTGAATAAGGACAGCATCGAATGTAAGCAATGATTTGACTGCTTTGAAAGCATAGGCTTCCTTAGGTCCCCAGTGCCAAGAGGCATGTTTGTCCAAAAGTCTATGCAGTAGTTCTGCTATGGAAACCTTATGGGGTAAAAAGGAGGCATAAAAATTAAGTAGTCTCAGGAAAGACTGAAGTTCAGTCTTGTTTGATGGTGTGGGTGCATTGTGGATTGTGTGTACTTTGGATTCTATTGGGTGAATGCCAGAGGCATCAACTTTGTAACCCAGAAATTCTACTTGTGGTGTGGCAATAGTGCACTTTTCCTTTTTCAATTTGAGGCCTGCTTTTCTGAAACACTCGAGAACACCTCCAACTCTTTGTATCAGTTGAGGTTTGTCAGAGGCAGAAATTAATATGTCATTGAAATAAGGTATTACACAGGTAACCCTTGTGGTAACCTCTCCATTAATTACTGAAAAATTCCTGGGGCCACACTGACCCCGAACTAGAGATGCTTACATCTGAAAGTACCCCTGTGAGTTACAATAGTCTGTAGTTCAGCAGCTGTGTCTTGAACAGGGAGCTGTTGATATGCTTGAGACATATCTAATTTTGCAAACATGGTCCCTAGTTCAAAAGAATGCAGCAGGTGCTGGATGACTGGGACTGGATATGCGCTGATATGCAAATATTTGTTTATCAAACATTTATAGTCTGTGCAAATCTTTAAGCTGCCATCTTTTTTAAGGGGCGTGACTATAGGTGTTTCCCATTTCGCAAAGTCCACAGGCTCTAATATTCCCTGATTAATTAGCTTATCCAGTTCCTTGTCCAGCTTAAGGCAGATTGCAAAAGGCACTCTGTGAGGCTTCAGATGAATTGGAACTGCTAGGGGGTCCAAATTGAAGGATATTGGGGTTCCCACATAACACCCAAGGCCCTCGCTGAATACATCAGCATAGTCATTAAATAAGGCATCTACCTCCAAGTTGGCAATAGAGTGAATTCCTCCTATATGAAGGCCAAGGGCAGGGAACCAATCTAACCCTAGTAGACTTGGGAGGGGACCATCCACAACAACTAAAAGCAAGTGACCCTTAAAAGTTTGAAAATGAATGAAAAACTTGCCTTTCCCAATGACTATGATGGTTCTACCTTGGTAGTCATGTAGAGTTAGATTGCAGTCTTGAAGCCTCTTTGCCATACAAGGAAGGATTCACTTCAAGGTGCTCCACGAGATGATGGAGAGTGCTGAGCCAGTGTCTGCCTCCATCTTACAAGGTTTTCCTTCTAAAGAAACAATTACACTTATTTTATTAGAGCCTTTGTCTAGTGATTTAGCTTGTTAGCAGGTGAAGAAATCTTCAATTTGTTTTTGAAAATGCTGAGTTGTCTGAGGAATTGGTTGCTGTGGCTGGGTAAAAGTCTTTTCTGCCTGACAGATCCTGATTAAATGACCCTTCCTTTGGCATTTTAGACAAATGGCATTCCTGAATTTGCAGGATGCTTTGAGGTGATTCCTCCCACAGCACAGTCAGATGGGCTGAGACCGTGGGGGCTGATTGGGAGCAGACCTGTTTCCCCTCTGAATGGCTTTGGGCTGCCTGAGGCGATTTACATCATTGGTTTCATCAGAGCTTTCCTCTGGAGAGACTTCATCGTAATGAATGGCTGAACTATTCCGGGAGACAGGGTTTCCTTGAATCTCTGCCGCTGAGAGTGCTGACAGCTCAGCAGCTTGAGATTCCTCTATAGCTATCTTAAGGGTCAAATCACCTTTAGCAAGAAGGCATCTCTGTACCACAAACTAATTGGTCCAATAACATGTCCTTGAGGTAGTCCCTAAGCCCGCAGTGTAAGGTAGCTGTCCGTAAGGCTGCTATATACCCACTAATAGTCTCTCCTTCAGCCTGGGTTCATCTTCTAAAAGCGTGATGCCTGGCGAGAGGGCTTAGGGGAATAATGGTTACACAGGATTTCCTGCAATTCCTCCCAGGGTACATTTTTTACTGATTGCGGTGCCAGCAATGTGGTAGCAGTGTCAAACACCATGCCTCCACAAAAACCTAAAAAGTACGCTTTTTTCCTGTGGGTAGAAATTTCAGCAAGGTCAATGGCGTCTAGAAAACAGTCAAAATGATTTATGTAAGACTCCCATGTCTCTGCTGTTGGTCTGAAAGGCGGGAACGCTGGGGTTGAAGTCATCTCGTCTTCAGGCGGTGCTGGGTTTTTCTGAGAGGATTTGAAATTTGCACTTGCGAATAGTGACAATCAGCTCTTATAGTGACTTTCAGGTCAGTAGTGGCTTCAGCTCTTATAGTGACTTTCAGCTCAGTAATCATGCTCAGTTGCCTCTTAAGCATATCCCATCCTTGTCGCCAGAGTTATATAGGCGGGCGGAATAACTGAGGCAACATGGACCAACTGGATGGATCAGCTGTAACTTTATTTAACAATAAAGGGTTGCCGCAGCTGCCGCAAGCTAACAGGGCAGCCAGCTGACAGGCAACAGCTGGTGCTGTTTGACAGCTCCCTTTTATAGTCAGCTGTCAAATGGCATCAGCCAATAGGAGCAGTCCGTGTTCCCACTGGATGTGTGGACCAGAGTGAGAACTTCAGCTCAGTCTGTTAGGATGCAATACAAGTAATAGTTCCTGTTCAATCAGAATTCATAAAAATTGTTTCAGCCACCCTTAACAAAACAGCCCAGAGCTACAGATTACTTGAAATAGTAAAATAAAACTGCATTACTCCATCAAAGTTTTTTTAAAAAAGGCATTCCAGGCTTTTTTTTTATTTCAGCTTCCCTCCAGAAATTCTCTTCCTTGTCATTTAATAATAAAAAAGTATCAAAAATGGCACAAATCTTCAAAAAGGAGTAACCAGCTGTACCTAAAAAGAGCCTCTTTTAGTTAGTGAAGATAAATGATTAAGAAGGGAAAGTCATGAAAATAAATTCCAAAATGGTGGCTTTTTCAACAATGAAATGGTTGGAATGGCTCATCAGTTTATCCAAAGCACAGCTCCTGAGGCTTCCTGAAGATCGCTGCTGTATGGAGGATCTTGTGGAGTGATTCTAGGATTCTCCATAACCCAGGGAAGTAATATAAACTAAAGGAATGTCTATTCCTTCTGTTAGTAAGCTGAAAAAGAGTTAAGTCTCCTTGCCTTGTGATAAGATGGCCATCTTCATAGGATTTTTTTCTGCCCTTCTACCTCATGCTTTCTCCTTTTCCCTTTTTTCTTTCCCTAGTTTCCCATTATTTTAAAATTTTTTGTATTTTATATTTTGATAAACATTAAATACATTAAATGTTAAACATTAGATAAAGTAAAAAAATTAAATCAGGAAAATGCCAAGGTAGGAGAGGACAGAGGGAGGACAAAAGGGTAGATTTATGCTTTAATCTAAACACTCTGAAATATTTAATTATTTTAGAGAATAATGTTCAAATAACATATTTTGGTTTCTTAAGTTTCAGTGCTCTTTGCTATTTCTTTCTTCAAAGAACAGAAAAGATAAAGATGTTTTTCTCCCTAAATTATATGTGACATTGAAGATTTGTTTGAATCATACTTGATACTCATAGTTCATTTCTTTTTTTTCTAAATGCAATCTATGTAGCATATTCACCACTTCTGAGTGAATTATCTATAATTTTGATTTAAACAATACAGCTAAAAAATGAACAAAGGTAGATGCAAGCATTTTATATTGACTCATCAGTACCTACATTACAATTATAATTTTGGTGTCTACAAAATAAAACAGAACATAAATAGATTTTAAATTTATTTTATGTTATGATAACTTCCCAACTTTTGTAGGTGGAAATATTGAACTTTTGAACATTATAATAGCATTGTTTTCTTTTTATCTCCAGATTACCAAAATCAAGAAAATATTGGATGTTTGTGATTCCTGGGAAGATAATTTTTGAACAGAAATTATAGTTATATGCCATTTATCACTTTACCTTTGCAAACTTATTACTGCAGAAAAGATATGTCTAGATTTTCTAGAAGCGATCACACTTTGCATTACTTTACTGTGACCTGTCTTTATTCATAATTGTGCATGAAAGAATCACCTAAGAAATTATTTTATTGCCAGATGTGGCCAGTTCCTAGACTCCACTTACTTGCTGTCCCACTTTTTAGTAGCTTCCAGGGCACCTTTATTTGTGCCACCAGAATTTATAAGGAATCAATTAATTTCCATCATTTTAAGTTTATTTTAAATTCTTATCTTTAGAATATTGTAGGCTTAAAGGATAATTTTTAATTGAATTTCCTTGTAATGTTTAATATTTAAAACCTGATAAAATATATTTCTTATGTTACTTTGTTCATTATGGCATTCAATACTGTAAGGTATAGCAGAAAAGGAAGCATACTTCCACTGGCATTTGCCCACTCTTATAGAAGAAATATGTACGATTGTGACATCTTCTTGCTTTGCTGAATGGCTCCTGATCATTTCTAAATGTCTGATTCTTCATAATAAATATTTTTAGCAGCAAATTGGAGTGTATTCTTTTGCATTGCCTGGATTGGTTTGCACAGCCTCTATGGATGACTTCCACAAATGGATTATTTGATTCATATCTGATACTGGTAGTTGATCACTGTCCTTTTACATTTTAAATTAATCTGGAAAATGAATTGATTTTTCAAATTGCCAAATTGATTTGGAAGTACATGTTTCTATTTAGCTATTTGATCTGAACCATCATTCTGATTTGTAAAGTCAATTCAGTTGGAGGAATTTGATCAAATTACTTGTGAAACTAATCTACAAATTGTAGCTCCTGCAGTTTTACACCATAGTGTCAAATGAAGGATAAAGAGGCACTATTGAGTCTTCATCTACGTGAAACACAACATGAACTCAAGTTATTGCAAGCCAGGCTGAACTGGGTGAAGTTCCATTCAAAATGCAAGAAAGAAAACCTTAGACTCCATTATTTTAGAGAAAAAGAATGATATGGTGGCATCAGAGGAATACAAGATCTGAGGCAATAGGCATGAAAATCACATATAGAAAGTTATGCCAATGTTCCCACCCCAACAGTTCAAATTGGTCATCCAACCTGAGATATGCATAATGTCATGTGAGGCATCTTCAGGTGGTGTTTCAGACATCTGGCTCCCCATGGCAGTTGACCTTGGCCTAGATAGATAAGAAGCTGCAGCTGCGCAGTAAGCAAGTAAGCATAGTCAAGAAAGTTTTCCAAAGTTTTACAGTTCACCCTCTCAAGCCTCCAGCATGCTTCTCCCCCCCTCCGCACATAGCCCAATTAATCCTCCCCCCTGTTTCTATGGCAGCCAGAAAGACAAGCAGAAGAAGGATTCTTGAAGGTTGACATGCACACTGTCTTTTTCAATGCCAGTGTCCTCCAGTGCATAATACATATGCAAGATCAACTTATGGCAGAGCAATTATGTTAAGTAGCTTCTTATTAAGCAAATGGGTCAAATCTTAAAAGTTAACAAGCTAGATGCAGATCTGTTTTCATGATCACTTTGTATTAGTCATCCATAACATATACAAATAAGTCTGATGTGCTGTTGCTTCCTCTTATGTGGAAGCACTAAGAGTACAGAACAAAATAGAGAATAATAGAGCTGGAAGGGACCTTGGAGCTCTTCTAGTCCAACCCCCTGCTCAGGCAGGAGACCATAAACCATTCTGGACAAATGGCTGTCCAATCTCATTTTAACAGCCTCCACCGATGGAGCACCCACAGTTTCTGGAGGCAAGCCATTTCACTGATCAATTTGATGCATTCTTCTACCCACCCATCATCTAGATCATTTATGAAGAGATTGAAGAGTACTGGGTTAAGAAAGAATCTGATGTACTCCACTGTATGATTCTCTTTATGTAAATGTAATTCAATTGAGGACTACCTGCTGAATGCAGTTAATCAGCCACTTGCAAAACCATCTGGTGATGTGCTGTCTATGTCACATTGTTTTACTTTGTCAAATGCCTTACTGAAGTCTAAGTATACTCTGTCCACAGAATTTCACTGGTCTGCTAATTTAATCACTTTGTAAAAAAAATGCAGGCATGATCTGTTTTTGATAAACTCATGTTGACTTCCTGTAATAGGTTTAAGCACTTCCAAGTGTTCACAGATACATTGCTTGATTATCATTTCAAAGATCTTTCCAGGTATTGGTGTCAGGCTGGGCAAATTGGTTTCTAATTTCCTGGTCCATTTCCCCCTCTTTTTTTGAAGATGAAAACCATATCAGCTCTCTTCCAGTCCTCTGGTGCTCCAGGATATTTGAAAGACATATATCTGTGGTTCTGATATCATATCTACTAGGTCCTTTAGAGCTCTGTGTTGTAATTCTTCTGATTCTGGTGATTTGAAGTAATCTAGAGTAAATAGATGTTATCTTCCCATTTTATTGCCTATTTTGACTTGTATTCCTTATCTGTCTTTTATAGTAATGCTTTTGGTAAGTTGAACAATTTTTTCCTTTCCATATACAAAAAATGAATTCAGCAGTTCTGCTTTCTCTCTGTTGCCCATCACCTCCTTTCCATCTTCTCCTATTACTCGATCAATTGTTTCCTTGGCTTTTTTTTTTTTACATTTTGAAAGAAGCTCCTTTTTATTATATTTGAATTTATTGCAAGTCTTACCTCATTCTGAGTCTTAGCTTTCCTGACTTCATTGTTGCAGATTGAGTTACATGCTGCTTTTCTGTCTAAGTCATGTGGACCTCATTCCATTTTTTATACTTGTCTTTTTATCTATCAGTTTATCAGAGAGTTCTTTATGCAACTTGTTTGAGTTCCAGAGTGGCTAGACTTGTCTCTAAACCTCTTCCTTCTGCTGTTTATTCCTTACTGTGTTTGGTCTGGATACATTTTCTTCCTTTGGTGGGAGTTACTCATTTGGTTGGTTGTCTCTCAGAGTGACTAAATATATCTCGGGAGATTTTATTTTTCTTCTTCAAGGAATTCATTTAATTTACATTAGGTACATGTATCCATTTGTACCAGCAGTTCCAGCTGTATGACTGTGGGAATAACTCTGACTCCAGTATTGAGTAATGATTAATCTAAGA